GAACTGCGGCTGCAATCATACGCCGCAACCACGCAACGCAGCTTGCTTCTGCTGAGAAAATGGTGATAAATTTCTTACAGCGTGTGAACATTCTTGTTCTGGGCGCCGTGCGGTGGTGGAACGATTGGGCCAAACATGCGCACACAAGTCGAAGGGTTATGGGGGCTCTTTTCGCACCGCCCGTAGGAGAAAGGAAAAGAAAGCACACAGAGGATACCCGTAGCAGATACCCAATGCCTTTTCGAGGCTAGGATCATACAGGCTCTTCATCCAGGGAAGGCATGGCTTGGGCTACGCCCTTTTCTTTTCTGGAGGGTAGGCCGGCCGGACCGCGGTGCCGATGGATTGCGTGGCTGCGGAAAAAAAACGTAGAAGACCATTGCGAAGTGAACGCGCCATTGTGTTACATGTAGAAACTTTTTGTCGGCAGTTGTGTCGGAGGCGGCGTTGCGCGTTGACCTTCGGGCTTTATTCTTTAAGATTGTCTTTCCGGCGAAGGGACGGTATTTGTTTCGGTGCCCATTGTCGGATGGAACTTTTATGTAACTGGCCCGATTGCCTATAGGGAAAAACGCGAGCCCAGAGATGTTGCAGGAGTTGGGCTTCCGCTATAAGAGGGGTGGTGATGACGGCGCGCTCAAAATGAGCAGCGCCCTTGGACATGCAAGTGGGCATATGGATAGGCCGCATTCGTCCCCCAGGAAGGCGCCAGGATGCCCCCACATGGGAATAGAAAGTCTGCTTATGCGCGGCCGGGTGTGGCGCAACAATTGGGGGCAGGAGGTCTGGGGTCCATCATTACAGCTTCTTGGGTGTTCATCTTAACTATGGAGACAATTCTGTGGCGTTCCGTGAAAAACGTCCGGGATCATTGGGGGTTCTTCCACCACTCAAAGAATTAACGGTCGCCAGCATGGAAATGTTGGCGTCCAGATTCTTGCACGCTGCGGTGGTGCTTGTCAGAACATTGTTTCCATCTTATTTATTTTCCAAAGCCGTTTGATGGAGGCTATCGGCGTTGAATGAATGAATGTCGTAGCTATCATAACTGGCTCATCTTCGTCCGTCGGAAACCGAAGTTGGAAATGCACTGCGATCGAGGCTGCTGGGTAACAAGCGTCGGATCATCAAACTCAGAGAGAAGGCAACGGCCGCGCCGACAAAGGATGCGTAGGCGCGCTTCTGGTTTTTTTTTTTTTTGACCGACGCTGAGAAAATAAAGCTTACAGGTGACCATTGGATAACACCACCGCATCTTGTCATAGAAAACTGGGCCTGCCGGTCCGGTTCCTTGGCCTCGTGGGCTTTTAAAGGGATCTCGGCCACCAAACTTGGAAGCGGTGATGGGGAACGCTCCGGTGCGAAGGTCCACCTCGAAAGGGGGTGCGGAACCCGATGCTTTGTCTTAGGAACTGCTCCGGATTTCGGAGCCGTTCGAAGGACACAACATTGGTGCGGCCGCTTTTGTACCTGATGTCTGCTGAAAACCCATCGGACGGCGCCTTACGCGAGGAGGCATTATCAATTGAAAACTTGACGAACAGGAGGAACTTGCGAAAGAGAGCAGCGAGGCTTCTAGAGGTAGTAGGCTCTAAAGTGACTATTTTGGAGCCGTTGCGTTAACTTAAATGAAGAAACGGCTCCAAAAAGGGAACATTCAATTGAGTGGATTTTTTAGTCTGGAGAAAAACGAAGACTTTATGCGGATTATTTCCCATTCTTTTGCTTTCTGTCCGTTATCAATTTCCAATGAATAGAGATTTTAGAAACAATGGCATTAAAGAACTATTTTCCTTTCGCCGCATTGGCCCAAGTTGTGGCAAAAAAAAAACAATAACCTCGCCGGGCTGCCAAATAGCCGTCTTTTCCTTTAGAATGTCATGCAGAAAAACCGAGTGCAGCCTTTAGATCTAGGATTTTATGTATCACAAGACCGCTTTTCACCTTCGTAAAGCGGTTGCGCGCTGGTGGGTAGTGTGTGTGTGTATGTGGGGTGAGGGGGGTGTTCACAAAGAAAGCCCAAACCAAAAAAAAAAAAAACACAAATAACAAGATGCCCATATATGGGAACACTCTTTTTGCATAGCTGCTGAACCAGCTAACTGCAGAGCCACAATTTTACGAGATCCAAATCACTCTATTTATGACTAAACGCTTGGCCCTGATTGGGGTGTACGACACCGCCTGATTTTTAAAAGGTTTGAAGTTTTCTAGCTGATGCAGAGTGGCTCCGAAAAAGTTCTGCCATTCACGTGAGCAATACTACCTTCATTCTTTTAGCCTGTTTGCTTAAACTTCTTTGATCACCCGCAGAGAGAGAAGTGGTACGCTACCACATAAAATCACTTACAAGGTTTATGCGTCATTCAGTTTCTGTGTGCTATTCTTTCCAGGTGTTATGGCATAGACGATTATTAAGAGGTAAATTCGCGGAATGTATTATTCAATATGCATTTAACTCGCACTGCAAAGGCACTAGCACGCAGAATTCTGGCACCGCCTTCTTGCAATTGGTGTCGTTGTTATTTTTGTGTTCTTGCGGGCCTGGAAGGGAATAGTCGAATCTGGCACTTCATAAATTCATACCGACCTTTTCATGCTTAGCATTACAAAAGGTATGTTTGACTACAGTTGTTATAGAATGTTGTGAGCGATGCGCCTTTTTCTCGCGAAGGGGAATGGGCAACCAGTATCAGGTATTCAGAACCTGGATGCGGCATAAGGGTCCAACGCCTTTTTTATTGGAATTTCCTACGGGCAGGGCTTTGGAGTATTCATCACCTCAAGAAGCAGCCATGGGATTTGGATATGGTTCAAGGGGCTGTAATTCAAATGTTTGACGGCGCCATAGAGCACTTACCGGCTACCACGCCAGGCCACCCACTCACAGCGTTCCGGGCCATTTTTCTATTACCGGTGGCCGTGCGCCCGGTGTATGGCAAAGCATTGGGGAACCCCGTCTCATGGCCATATGCTGCTTCAAGTGAATGGCTTAAATCTGGTTGTGCTAAGGTTGGGAAGACCAATACGCACCCAATTGTGAATCACCGAATGGGCAAGACATGTCCTGGAGCACCGGCCTGGAAAATACGTGGGGCCGTCGCCTAATGCCCAAAACAGGACGAACCTTTTCCCCAGGCGGCGCCGAAGAGAAGGAAGAATACAACAGATCCTCTTTCTGGCAAGGTGTGGAGTTACAAATGCAAGCGAGCCGGCCATTATAGCACCATTTCCTGGTGCTCCCACTCGAAAGGATTGTTTTCGCTAAAACGAGTATAGGCCTCGGAAACAATAAAACATGGGGAAAAGGTGTGCTGAAGCCCCCTACGTTCATGGAGCCTGGGCGTGGCGCAATGGCGGCGGGTGGGCGATACATTTTGGCACGGGCCATCCTTACCGAAGTGCGCCGCTCACGCAAACCAGTGGTGCGACCCAAAGGGGGCAGGGAAGTCAGAATTCCCAATTG